AGCAAGGTAGTGCTTGAAGGAAGAACTGATATGGCCTCTCGCAGTATATTGAAAGCATTTGTATCAGGGAGAAGGGTTATTCTGTGTGACTCAGCATCATCCGAGCTCTTGCGTTGGAGAGGCAAGACCTCACGTCAGCCAGAATCTGCCTTTGTGGAAATAAACGAAATGAGTGAGGGGAACGCTACTTGAAGTGCATCGTCTGGGTTCACGAGGGCGTGTTCTAGCGTCAGACCATCTCACGCCCACTCTTCCACTCTTCCACGACAATAGTAGATGTAACACCGTGGGTTTGCGGACCTGGAGTTCTCTTGGGTCTGGCGTTACAGTTGGTATTGCCGGTGGATTAGTCCGGTGCGGCTGTAGCACTACGTAAATCATGTGGCACAGGGACTACCCATCAGGGCGTCGTGTACTCTGCATGGTGCCTGTGGTTCAAATAAAATCGTGTGATACAGAGAGCCATCAAGCTAACTACGCTGAATCGTACCGGTACCGCTGAGAGGCACCGGTCTGTTGTTGGTGCACATACCGGCTTTAGCGACAGCACTCGACGATAGGCAACTGCCGTAGGCTGTTGGCGGAACAGTAAACACTGCTGTGGCGCACCCCATTCCATCCGCCAAAGGGACACCTTCATTACCATCACTTGTGCGCTTCCTGCTCCTCGACGACGCTTTTCCAAAGTATCATCTCCAATGCCATCGACTCCGATGAGGACTACTGATTGTGGTGCTGTTCCTGCTGCATGCTGACCTTAACGCTCTTGCGTTTCGTCGCTGCTTGTACGTGTTTCCACGTGCCTTCTGCTACCGCCGTTGCTGTGCTGCTCCGTGTGCGGCAGGACCCGGCCCTCTCCACCGGCATCCGGCATCTCATCTACAACGCCGTAGGGTTGGACTACACGTACCAGTCGTCGTTGACGCTGACGATACCCTTGATAAGGTGGCTCTTGTCGGAAACTGACTGGATGGATGCGGAGGCCGCCAAGCTTTGCGCTTACCTCGTCCGGCTTGAACAGGTGAACCATCATGGGATGGCGGCAAGCATGTACGGTATATGACACAAGATAACACACCCCCTAGACCGATTTGCAAAGCTCGACTACTCCACGATGAAGAGAATGCGTAGACGAAAGGATACGTTTTCAGAGAGCTCTAGACCAGACGGCTTCAACGCCGCCGTTTTCGGCCCTGCGGCTGTTGCTGCTGTTGAAAAATCGAGCTTTCAGAACCAGTCCAGGGGGTGTCTTATCTTGTGTCGTATACGTTTGTTCGTTGTGGACTGCTTACGGCAGCTGTGATATCAGCACATGCTACGGCGGTGGAGGTACTTGTTGCTCGTGTCCGGAGAATAGCCCAGTAAAATGGGGATGGAGGCCTTCCAGTCATTGGGCTTTGCAGAGGCATGTGGCTTCAAAGTCTGAACGAGGTCGTAAGAGTACGAATCATTGCGATTGTGCCGACACGATGGAGTCGCGCGTACCAACAAACCGTCTCCCATCCGAACTATGCTAGATTTTGCCAAGAGCAATGGTTTCGCGCATTTCATAGATGAACGCGGAAGGGCCGTGTGCCGCATGCGATTATTTGGCGGGCAAGGACATAAGTCTACATCAGCGATTACCTTCCGCTCGTTTTGTCTCTTACTGAGATACCGCCACGATGACCGCACCAAACCGACATTCGTCTGTCCTTCGTGCGTATGTTACGCGTAGATTGTGATGCATATGAAGTTGAAAAAAGACGTGGTTGGAAGTAGAATGTTTGTGCTGATTCAATATACCCTTCTATCCGCTCTTTGTTTGGCATTCGCATCGCTCATGGTTTGCGCGGCGTCGCCCTATTTCAGACCGAGTTAGCGACGATCTGGCTGGTGGCATGGGCTATCCGAGAGCCAGGGATCCTAGACCCGTCATCTTCAAGGGGCTTGGCAGCTAGCCTTCCGCTGGGGTCTCAACAAATAACGGACGCTATGGTAAGCTGTTGCATCCCTGCATGGGTGTAATGGTCGTCGGCAGAAAACGCTGCAGTCCCTGACACGTAGGTATTCGTCTTTTGTGGAGGCTTGTGATTTCACACCACAAACACTTGAATGTGTTCTCTGTGTACCCAGTACTCGGTATGCACCCTGCGTCGACTTATATCAAGCGCGGGTATACACACCCAGGAAACCTTTTCACACACGCCTCGTGTTGAAGAAGAAATCGTGTAGCTGCTGTTGCTATCGTTCCCATCGATTCGGGCGCCAGTCTACACCTTTTGGGTGCATTGCATACGAGAAGAGCATTTCTGACAGGTAAACGCTGCTTGCGCACAGGTGTGGGCGTTGACCGAAACGCTCAAGTCTGACTGGGCGCTTGAGATGGCCAAGTCGACCACCGTGGAGATTATCAAGTCCAGGCCCAACGGGGTGGAAAAAGAGTGAATCCAGATAGCGGCCGCACTTAGGAACTCATAGTTTTGGCCGATGAGGCTGGGGTACGTAGTTCTGGCCGCCATCTAGGTTTTAGTGTAGTTCTCACTCGGCCTCACGAAAGGTGCTCAAGTGAAGACCTTCTTAGGTTTGATCAAAATGTTGAGCACTGCATAAGTTCGTAGCGTGCGGACGCAACGTGTGTATCACCTTGGTTTTCAAAACTGAACTGGGCGAGGGTGATTACGAAGACGCTGGGAGTGGTGACGTCGTACCGATGATATCAGCGAAATTTCTGTTGGTACCATTGACATCAGCGCCGCATGCCCGGAAGTACTTGTAGGCCGACGAGAGGACGGGGCATGGAACACGTGGTGGGGAGAGGTTGGCATTGCAAGGCAAGGTGAGCAAGAATATTGAGCGCACCCCACATTACACTTCTCGTGCCTAAGGAAGTGTTCTTCGCTTAGCGGGTGACCGATAGGCGTGATCGCGCATAGATGGGTAGCCTACACGCCAGGTTCCTACACAAGACTGGTTAGAGAACATGATAGATGAATGGGTGGGGCGATCTGGACCAAACCAGAAAAATTTCACAATGCTGACGTATAGCCGGTCGGCCCGGTGGGTCAGGTAGTAAACTCATAGAAACCTCGTCTAGCATTTGGATTCGAATGTCTCCGCGGGAGTGAGGATTCGTATTTGAAGTGGCAAGCGCGTAGTAGACGTGGTCAGAGACTGCAGAACCTTTCACTTGCGAACGATGAAGGCAAGTATCACGGGTGGAATCTTGGTGGGATGGTGGAGAAAAAATAGCTCCTGCTTTCACGGTCTCCCTGCGTAGTAAATAATGGTAGCTGCGTTGGACATTCAATGGCGTAGACTATTTTGTGCCACAGACTCGACGAAGCGACGAACACGTCGCAGAACTAGCCCTGTCTGCAGCATCCAGCGACGTGCTCTACCGCTGTCGCCCTCGATCTACCGGAGGCAGGACGGAGAGTGATGGACGACGAGAAAACGAGTTTTGGATGTTGCCCAACCCCTTTTGGATAGGTGCATCTCTTGCACCCGCCGTTATTTTCTACCCCGCCATCGTGTCCTTCCGTTCTCCACTGATGCCAGGATTTGTGAAATCTGAAGCTGTAGACTAAGCTTCCTAAACTTCAGTCTGACGAAAAATCAGATTGTCGCTGTGCGTGCGAGTTCCGTAGCTCCAGCGTAAGTAAATCATAATGGCTACTGCTGTAATTGTCGGCAATGTCGCCATGCTTTGTTCCACCACGGGCGTCGTACCGTCCGGCTGTTATACACGCAGTATGGAACATTTGAAGGAGAAATAAGTTGTCATCTGTTCAACCTACATGTTCCAGAGGTAAAGGACTATTGCAAATATATCTCAGACTTCCGCGCCAAAAATAACAATGAGTAGGCTTCAGCAGCCCGGTTTGCAAGAAGTGCAATTACCGTTGTGGAAGGTGCATATTATACTTGAGCCGTACGTTGGTGCAAGCTGCCACTTGTTCCTTGTCTTGTCATTACCGTACTTGGCGTCTGTGTCTATCCTTTGCCAATGTAGTGTATCTCAGCCTTAGTACTTCATTCAAAACAAGGTTGATTGCGCTGGGTTGTGTGATTCCATGATGCCAATACTGAGCGCGCAGTCCGCACTGAATCTACATACCATTGCGTGAGTACATTCAGGAAAGAGGCTTCGTTCCTTGTTCTCGTTTCGTGCAATTATCTCTCTCGCGAGAGGTTGAGCTGTGGTGTGTGTTCTGCACGTTACAAACGAACGAAAGAACATGGAAGGACTCCTTCTAGTCTTACAATGAACTATAATGCAAGACATCAACCACTGAGCGTCGTGTGTCGCAACATACGCAATCCGGTATGTCCAAGGTGAACACAAACAAACTGTTGCAAAGGTGTGCGGGGCATAGGAGTGGTACAAAATGCGACAAAGAATCAGGGATGGAAGTAGCTGGGTAGTTGTCTTCGACTGAGTGCTGTGAAAAGTTTTTGGGGGGATTTGTTGTGCCTGGCATGGCGAACTTATGTCGCTTCCTCGCATCGTTTGACTACCCTATGCTCTGAGCAAATATTCCACTGCCGCCGGTAGCCGAGCATGTGTTCGTTCTTTTCTTGTCTACACTTGACATCAGCGCTAATAGCACTTGTGCCGTTTACTCCAACCCGTGGTCACACAGAAGGATTTCTCTCCTGAGGTCCCCTACCCACCCTTCCTGCGGTGCTTTGCCTTGGATAAATGATGCAAAAAGAGTGCAGCACTCTCTTCCCTCTGTGTTTGGAAGTGGTTATACTTACGCACCGGAACGAGCAGCCACGATCGGTGATCTGTGGTAGATTCCGACCACCAATGTAGGCCAGCAATTGGCTTGGGGCTTGCGGTCCCGTATGTTGCAACGGCCGTTTCAGGGAGGGGGTCGTAACGTGGTGTTTGCGCGATGGCCTCGGCGCTTGTGGGAAATGCCCTGATGTATCCCGTGGCCACTTTCATGTAAATACAACCGGAAAGCACGGACATCCAGGGGGATGAACCAGCCCCAATCGGAATGTGCACAAACATCACCTCTCCTCTTCATTTCAACTCCACATCAAAGCAACAGAATAGCACCAAAAATCGCCCTCGATCGCTCAACCTTGCACCCCCTTCTAGCTCGTTCGCGGAGGCCATGCCACATCCAGCACAAGGTCAAACACGTGTAAAACCGTCACGAGACGAATCTACAGACGCCGTGAACCGGCATCCCCGACAAACGTCAGCACAGTATTTCAACAAACACCACGGAACGTACATGGAAAACGTGCTGAACCAGCTCCGCGGCCAGTGGGTATATCGCGAGAAGGCCAGGGTCCCACCTTGTGAAGGCCTTCCGCAAGATGCAGTACCCTAAAAAACCAAGCATCACGACACAACAAGATATACAGAGGCAGCAAAAATACAGTACGCGCTCCAACAATCCGGCAAGAACCTGCAGCCTTGCCATGATGCGTCAAAATCGTCACGTAGTTGTTGCCACAAAGGGAGCGGATTGCTCAGTGACACAGAAAACGCGCAGACTGGCACTTGACCGCCAGCAAGCCAAAACCTACGCGAACCACCTGCAAGCGCGCTCATTCAGAGTGACAAAGCGACAGATTCTGCCCGTTTTTGCTCTTGAAGACTTTCGAAAGAGCGGCTGCTGAAACGCTTCGCCTCAGAACCTGCAGGCCCAGCTAAGCTCCCCAAAAACACCACAGAATGAGCTGTGATTCTCGAAGGCAAACAACCGGAGCAGGATACGGAAACCGATGCCGTGAAGAACTTTGGAGAAAACTGAGTCACTGTCACAATGAACTCCACCACGCTGGGGCGTTTGGTAACATCTGCCTTGAACCAGAACAAAGAAGAATGCTCGATAGTACTCCCCGTCACAAACCACCCCCGTCCACCCCCTATGGTACCGCACATTGTGAAAGCCAGGGGGTTGCCGTGGATCCATGTTTGCGTCGACCTACTCCTCCAGGAGCAAAACGGTTTCCTGTGGCATTGAGGACACCGAACAAAACCAAGCGCGAACAACAAGGAAACCACGCGTGACGCGTGACTCGAGTCCACCCTTCGATCTGATTTTGCGAAAACCAGTCAGGCGCCAAAGCCTGCCATGTTTAAAAACGAAGGCATCATGAGATGTTCTTACGGTTGCGACGGCATATGAGAAAAATTTGACGGAATAACACGAGTATCCCGTTCACGTTCCACTCTTCAAACTGCTACTACGGAGAACCAGAAATACCTCCACAAATACGAATTTGGAACCCAATCGGGAGAGCATATTTTCGACAAGTGCACAAGGGCGCTGTTAACGAGCACTAGAGTGGAGGGCGTGAACCGGACGCGTGTGACTTGCCTCAATGTATCGCCAGTGTCTAAACGCGTGGTCGTTCGGAATGTTCCCGAGGGCGTAAGGATTCTTTGTTCAGCCTTACCCGGCTGCGTGATTTGTGCTGAAGGTCACACCCATCCTCGGAACCGCACACAACACATCACTCACCCTAGTACACTTCAGCAGGTCCATAGCCCCTGGGCATGACATCCTTGAGCTCCTTCTTGAGGACGCTCAGAGCCTTCTTCGCCTCTGCTCCCGACGTCGCCCGGAAAAACAGAAAAACATGAATGCGCAAACAATTTTCAACCCCATCTTTTGAAAAAGCGACTAGGAGCCTTTGGTGGAAAACTGGTGTAAAAAAACTGTAACTGTGAGGGCTTCGTTGGTCTCAGCTGCCGCTTTGATGTGAAACGAGGGGGTGGCCCACAATATATACCTATAAATGATCTATATATAATAGATAAGGCCATGAATAAGCAGAGCTCACAAACAAGCCGAATAAAGCCATGCAACGACTGGATGGGCGGCGCAGGTACAAGGAGAAGCAAGACACGGGGCAGAAGTTACCGCAGGTTGCATGAGTACTACACCCCCCGGCGATCTCAGTTGTTCCACGGCGAAGAGGATGCCAAAGCAAATCAGTAGCGTTCGCAGGGTTTTTCTATTAAGGAAACATGTTGGATAAAACATGCAATGGGGGAAGTTGGGTTATAGGGTAAGGAACAGAGTCTGCGTACCCCCTCTCTGTTGTATTTCCTCAACAAACGTAATTTCTCGCGATCGTGGCCCAAGCAAATATAACATGGTGCGTTTCCGATCATCTCTCGACGACACGGTTCCTACGCCGCCATTTTCGGCACCATCGTCGTTCGTCCCGCAGAGCACGCGAGCCTTGAAATTCTGTCCAGGGGTAGTGGTGGTATCTTATGCATGTTAATGTATTAACAGTCGGCCGAATGTACGACACCGGCGATGATGTAAAACAGCACACACCCTTCTTCACGGCGGACCCATCGTCCAGCATGGCGACGTACAGCTTCTGGAGGTGTACGGTCTCCTTGAGCTTGCGGATGCCCTGTACCGAAGTGGGGTCGCACATCTTCCACTTCCTCCTGGCCACCTCCACCAGGCAACGGTCCACTTCGGGGCTGTCGTCGACACGTGAGACGCCGCAAGGAAGAGATACAGCGCGCGGGGGGCGGGGCGGGGGGGGAGGGGCTAAATAACGCCGGGTAAATACCGCGGGTAGACCTGAATAACGCCGGTGAGCCTGCCTGCGCAAAACCTGAATCGAACGCCCGTTGAATGCTGCCGGGGGGGCTGTGTAGCGCCGGTGAACCTGCCTGGGCACAGACTGAATCGCCCAAGTCATCTGAATAGCCCCAGTCTGAACTCTGAACAACGCCGGTTTCATTCGCCGGGCACATAGTGAGGGCCCTTCGGTGCCCTGAGCTTGACACCACGTCGGGAGGAAAAGGTAAAAGGTTTCAGCGACGGAAAGGAGTGGCACGGCGACGGCAAAAAGCTACGAAGAACCGCATTGAAATGAAGTTGGGGCCGACTCTGCGAACCCTGAGCGGGAAGCATTAACCACAAAAACAAATTCGGGGCAGACGTCACTTCGAGGGCTACCCTTGAGCACGGTAACACGGCGTGCAATTGATCTTTGTGGTGGTCTACCGGAGGCGATACATCATATGGACCAGCGAACCGACTGTATTTTCGAGCACAGAAACCCTGCAAAAAATTATCAGATCGGGTAAAAGTAAATAAATTGCGACCAGTCACAGCTACAAAACAGATGTACCACAACGAATCATTTCAAACGGCAGCATGAGAGCAGCCATGGGGGCTTGTCTTCCAGGAGCTCCCCAGCCCATGAAGCGCAGAAAAGGGACAGGCCAGGATGGAATGGGGGGAGGGGAAAGCACACTTCGAGACGTAGGCGTGTGAAGAGCGGGCACGTTTGGAGAGGCTGGCAGAGCGCAGAGAACAGTAACACGCAAGCAATGCAGTTCCCAAAGCGAAAACTTCAGTCCGCGATGCCCAAACTGGCACGAACGAGTGCGGGAGAAAGCCAACCATTCATCGTTGCAGTACGTGTGGCGCGTATTTATATTGCTTGCCGTCGGTTATAATGTCATTTTCAGTTTTGGGAACGGAAAAAACGGTACCCAACATTGCCATCACATCGCGTCAACATCATCAACTTGCCCCGTCACCTGGGGAACGGGCGCTCTCCGGATCACTGATGCCCAGAACAACGAGTGGGAAACAGCTGCCAATCGTAATCATCGCGACACGTCATGGGGTCGCCGTCATTGCCACCACTTTGCACCAATACAGTACCCTCAATTTTATTGTGTTACAAGTACCTGGTGGAGTCGTAAATCCGTGCGTCGTTGGCGATATTCTTCACATCTTCCAGATTCGGGCTGGGCTCCTCGAGCAACGCCCAGGCGTACACCAGGCAGGCCGACGCGCGGGCGCCCTTGAGTCCCGGGAACTGCGCCTCGTGGGCCCTGGCGCTGCTGCTGCTGCTGCTGCTGCCGCCGCCACCGGTGGTTCGGGGTCCCGCGATGGGCGCGGGCCCACCTGCCGCGAAGACAGCGGCAATGGCCGCCTGCTCCTTTGCCTATTGAACGCGCACCAACAGCGTTGGACCAACGCAACGTCAAAAGACTTGGCGTATAAAACCGGGGGGTCCGCTGTTAGGTTCCCCGTCGACCAGGCCCACCGGTGGGGGGCAATAAGGAAGCTCTCCAGATGCCGATTGGGTACTACTGCCAAGCTGTCGACATATTGTCCGATTGGGTACTACTGCCATGTTGTCGATATAGAAGTATTGTCTTGACCAACAGTGGGTGTTCTCTACATTGAAGGGCGCAGGACCTAACCACGAGTTCGACCTGCACGCGTTCGTGAAGCTCGAGACAAGAAATGAACCGCAACGTGCGTCGAACGCACACGCACATCGTCCAACCGGCCCGCGGACAATGCATCCATGGCTTGCTCAATGGTCAAGAGGCTTGAGGACAGTCGCTCCCCCGAGGACATGCCCGCAGCTTCCATTTCTGCCTTCCACACCTTGCGCGGCTTGCTGAAGTAACGTACGAGGGAGAACCGAGGGCAGCAAACCATGGGTCAGTTGCGGGAGGTAAAGGGTTTGTTGTTGCTTCTGTCTGAAAGCATAGTGGCTGGAGCAAAGCGTGAACAACGTACATAATACCAAGTGCGGTGAGACCTGTTTGGCACCCCACTTGGAGGACGTTGACACTGAGTTACTCAAACAACGAGATGGGGAGTCACGGCCGAAGTGCTAAGTGCGATGGAACTACAACAAATTAGGCCAAACAAGCCTGGTAATAAACAAGCAGTCAAGCACTCCGGGCATCGCGGCGCGGCTACGAACCCGACATCAGAAAAATAGACCAGGATATTTTGGCATGTTCCACTCTTGAACGATAACGACAGAGGCCAAACCACGAACACCATCCACTTCAACGGCAACATGACCCCGACGGGCACTAGCTAAAGTCTGCCCTAACAGCAACGCGCGCTCGCCAAGTGAACCGACATCACGGACCAGGAGAACCAGCCCTCGCGACATCTACGGTGAATCCAAGTCGCTCAACAGTAACCTGGCGTGAGCCTTGACGTGCTCGATGATCGCGGCCTCGTACTGGCCGTTGGAGTCGTACATCTGGAGAGCCAGGGTAGAGTCTAGCGGGTCGTCGTGGTCCGGAGCCAAGAGCAGCCCTGTCACCATGTTACGGAACGACCGGATGTCACAACACTATTATACCTCATATCTCGTACGGGTGGTCTCACGCTGTGATTGTATGTAAAGTTTGATTCAACAAATCCGCCTCACCGGGTTCTCGGGGTCATGTCAAATGGTTGTAGATATCATGAGCAAACAAAAAAGCATTTGGGGAGCCCGGTGGTTGACGTCCCTGGAGAAGTCCGGGGGATCCGTCATAAAGGGCATGTCAGATATTTTCAGGGGAGGTGGGCCGCTTGTCGAGCGGTGGGCCACTCGGACTTGCGGCCGTAGCGGTCTGACAAGTTTCATCCATGCTGTCGTCGTGATCTAGCTCAAAACTAGCTCCGATTTTGGCAGCAGAAATATGTTCAAATATGGGAATCTGGTACAGGAACAAACCGGCAACCGCTTGGCGAAAAACCGCGGTGCGTAATGCCGCAGTAGAGGATACCGATACGATTCAAACTCCACCATAAACAGGAGAAGCATGGACACATCTGGGTTTTGAATAAATTCATCAGCAGCCAACAACCGTGCTGCTATGTAGTCGCGAGCTAAACGTCCACCACAACCCCTCTGGTGTCTCTTCGAACAAGCGACCGTCTCTGTCTTTCGACGTTTGACGAAAGCTGCAGCACCCAAAACAACCGCCAAGTTCTGTCTGATTTGTTCAGGTTGGCCTCGATCTGCTTGGAGGGGCGCGCCTCGCATCCCCCCGCGTCCCGCGGGAGCTTACCGTAGACACACGACATGACGTCCAGAACCGTCGTGTTGGGGGTCCATGACCGATCGAATAGCGCGTGACACACCTAGAAGAACATATGGAGGCGGGCATCCAGCGGGAGGGGGGGGTGGGAACAGTCTTGGCTCCGAAAAAAGGGGTCGACGTCGGTTGCTACGGACTCGACCCGCCAAAGCATAGTTGAGGACCCTCTTTTTCCGGTTCAAGAGGGGGCTCGGATATGAGAGAGTCGAAATCGGTTGCTCCGGACTATACCCTCTGTGACATAGTTGGGTACCATCTAATACCGATATATGAAGGGGCTCCAATATAAGAGGGTCGAGCGCCTTTGTTTCTCGACCGTCTTGCAAATGGAGCCACGACCGATATTGCATCCTGATCGTACGCATGTCGAAAAACAGGTCCCGAGGATACCCCGATGACCACGTACATCCCCTTCCAACGCACGAACAAATCCTACTTTAAATCAGTACTGGTGAGTGCCGTTGGGAGAGAATAGTACGATGAGATAGGGCAAACGGCAGGAGCGGTGTACCGGCAACAAGTAACGGTACACCGCAAGGGGATGGTTAGGGAGGTACCTAACCCCGACGCCGCACGCTGATTGGCCAAACCCGCGGTAAACCGCTTTCTGGCGAATCACGCGGCGGTACGCTGCAACCCTGGTTCTCCAGTCGACTTTCACGGTTCTCTGTCGTTCCATAACATTTTCTGGCGCAAGAGAAGAGCGACCTTGAAGCAGAACCCAGGGAGCACTCAAACGTCAAAGGCGAGTGCAAGCACAGGAACGTTGCCGGCTCTTGTTCGAAAGCCTTCGATTGGCGGCCTTCAGGCCGCCCCCCCGACCAGCACACCCGGAACATGGCGCGACAAACAGCGTTGTCGGTCTCATCGACAACCAACAGCAACAACAATCACACCACCTACCCTTCCGTGGGAGTTGATGTTGCAGTGGCGGATGGGCGTGATGAAGCGGACCTTGGGAGCCACGGAGGGGTAGCCCGGAGGGAAGAACATGCTGAGCATCCAGCACCCTTCCCTGTAGGGGGTGCTCGCCGGGCCGTGGACGAGAACCTTCCAGAAGTGCATGTTCTCGTCGCTCGGGAACACCTCGAACGCCTGGCGGACGATATGGCGAGGACGAGCGGGGTGATTGATGTATTGCTTTTTTGTTAGGGTTGGTGGTGGGGCTATTGTGGTGTTGTGGCGTGTTGGGTCTGTTGTTGGTAATGGTTTTTCTGATGTTGTCTTCGCAAAAAAAAAAATGTTCCGTGCTTCTCCTCAGTACTGCTTGTTAGCACCCGTGTCTACAACACGGGGTAGTTAACGAAAGCAAGGGAGAAATGTGTGGTTTCCGTGTGGAATGGGAAGGCGTGCTGCTGTTGGGATCACGTGCACCTGTACAGATATGCGGAGCACGTTCCAGTGCGCATGTTCTCGCACCGGCATGCTCTTCGACAACGGTACCAAAAAATCACGCGACATCGCAATCGAGGTGGTCAGCCGTACTTCATCGTCAGCAACATCTGGGGGGAGGGGGTGTACTTGTAGTTGTTCATGCCGTAGTCGTTTGACCATTGACCTCGCATCCCTACAAGGCCGGGACGGAGCACTCCGGGTTCTCACCGAACCAGCCTCATCACGGGGAGGCGGCATTTCGGGAGGCGGGGGGGCTGAGAAACGCCCGTCATATTGTACGGTTACCCTGCGCGGTAACACACAATCGTGCTCCCGGAGGTATACCAGAATATGACCGAGTCGCAAACCAGAAAATCTCAGGGCCACAGCCAAGGCTCTCGAAGAGCAGACAACGACTTGATTGTTCCGTCGATGTCGAGAGGGTTTCACCGGGAAATTCCGGGCAGTTGCGAGAGCAAACCGTCGAGTGTTGCGAGTCCCACGACAGCATGGTATCTGAATATCGCACCGTAAGCAGAATGACGGTACAGCACGACAACAAAAACTCCTGCGGTAGGGGTGGGAAGAACAGCAAACCCAACTCGGATAGGACATCTGGAGTACATGGGGAACGCTCCGTTCCATACCACGATACCAACGATAAGCTGGACGTGCAATGTCTCCCACTTTATTTATGATCCGCCCGCCGCACCAAGCACCTGGTGCGGGTTCTTCATCCAGTCCATCATCTCGCGCTGCACCCGCCTCTGGCGCTCAGGGTGGACAGCCCCACCACCGCCGCTGCTGCCGCCGCCGCCGCCGCCACCGCCGCCACGCGCGCTCGAACTCGTGCTGCTGCTGCCACCGCCGCCGCCGCCACCGTTGCTGCTATCGGCCGGCTCGAGGGTAGCAAGCGCGTCCGCGAGGGGCCTGGATACGACACACCACAAACGAGGCCGGCGTCCAAAGGACGTTGATACTAATATAGTTCGATAATTAAAATGTGTCAAATCACTTTGGGGGATCAAATTCGATTATTTTAGGAGGAGCAAGTCATACCCAATGTTTTGTCTAAGTATTGAGGAAATATATCATTGTCCCTGGTATTGTACCGTTGGCTGCATACGTAAGATACCACACCCGCTGAGCCCATCGTCAAAGCTCGACTACTCCACGCCAAAGGGGACGTCAAAATCAAACGATGTTCTCGGAAACCTCTCGGCGAGACGGCTACAACGCCGCCACTGCAGCCACCGCCACCGGTTGTGCGGCGGAGAAATCGAGCTAAAACAATCGGTCCAGGGGGGGGTATCGAGCTACGGTAAGATGTTATAAGTTCGGGCCCCGTCTACCGCGAATATTGGGGAACCAACAAAACCATGCATTCAGCGGATGAAACACTCGGCGTCTACCGTGGGCTTGCCAGGGGGGCATGCTCTTGTTGATGGCATCTGGTGGGCAGCGAAGCAAGCGCTGCTGGTGCTGTTGACCACTCAATCTTGCCTTACGATGTTAAGTAATCCCTAGTCCCCATGCTGTGGTTGTGTTGATATTTCAATACCGTGAAGTGGGTACGTTCACGTTGTGACCGATATCAAATCGTGGGCGCTGTCGTTTAACCAGTGATCCAACAAGGCAAAGGTTCTGCTAGTGCTCACGATGCCAACAGTCGATTGTCAATGCTCACTTGCACTTGCTCCTGGCCATGGGGTCCTCCTTTAGAGTCGCCGTTTCCTCCGTGTCGTGGGGTGCTCCCAGGCGCGCGGCAGTCACCAGCTCGTACTTGCTCGACACCTGCGAACAGGCATTTCTTATTTTTGTCTTCACGTCAAATCAGCGCTCACATCATTTGTGCCGTTTGCTCCTACCCGTGGTCAACCACGGTGCCGTGCCAATTTCCATCGTCTAAAACAGAGGTCGGAAAAGAGGCCAAGTGTGGATCGGGCAGACATGTGCAACACACGAGCATCATCAAGTGTGTCCGTGCACTTTCCATCGCCAATATTTTGTGTTGCAGGGCTCCCCCGGACCCCTCCTTGCCGTTGTCGCTCGTGTTCTACGTAGTCAAAAGACCGCCAGCCATCAAATACCCTAGGCCGGGGGTGGGGCTCTGTGTTGACAACCCCCAATCCGCAGATGGTGCACCGAGGGGTCGAAACAAAACAAACCATAGCAGCAAACGAAAACACTTGAAGAAAATCGAGTTCGAGGAAGATTAGTGGAAAATACAGGGTTTGAAAAAAATTCGACTATTCTACGAACGGTTTTTGTTGAGTTGCCGGCGGGCACTTGTGTTGAAACCAAACCAGAGCAGCCAACAAAAACACTTGAAAAAAATACCATAGAGTTCGAGGAAAATACAGGGTTTGAGCAAGTTTCGACTGTTGTACGAACGGTTTCTGTTGAGTCGCCGGCGGGCCTCGTGCCCCCCAAGCTCTCAGAACGATCTAGGTGCCCTGCGTTGGTCACATTTGCAGCTGTCAACAATCATTTCCAGTCTAACCTAGATGACCTACTGATACAATACTACACAGCAGCGAAACCCACTAGTCTCGGAACCGTTTCCTCTAGAGGACGCGTGGGCAATGGTCAAATGACTGAGGCATGCAAAATATGAGTACGCCCTTCCCCCCAAACAAAACTGTCCCCTCACCCTCCTAGCGTTGGCGGCCGGCCGCTGGCGGGCTCTCTGCCCCGCGAGCAGCACCGTCTCAAGCTCGTTCAGCCTCAGCGCAGCGCGCAGCGTCATCGGGTGGAAAGCGTAGCCGCCGGTGGCGAGAGAGAGGCACTTGAGCTGATTGTTCTTCTCGGTCCCCACCGTGATGGAGTCGACGATCACGCCCACCTTCTGGAGCCGGCCGCAGACACTGGAAATATATGATTTATCGTCCACGAGTGCGCACACAGTCAGCACTATAGGGAGAAGACGCGCAGGGGGGTTGATGGGAGGGACGTGGGTCTGTGCCACTTTTTTTGTCAACTGACGTGCGTACACAGAATATCAGACAAAAGCTGCTCAGGCGGCGGTGGCCGGTAAAGGAAGGGGGGGGGGGGAGGGGGCTAGTGCCGGTTTAATAGTGCCGGGTCCCGGTATGGTGTCGGTCAAGTTTCTGGGCACTTGACGGCACTCAAGAGGGATGTATATTTTCTGCATATCGTACACACACGGCATTTCAGGGAGAAGGTGCGGCGGGGGGGGTGGAGGGGCGGGTAAAGGGAAGGGGGTACGAGTCACAACAGGCGCTCTGAGCTTTCAAATCATTTTTTATTGTCGCTATGGTCGAGTCTTGGGCTTCATTTCATTTGCCGGCAACAGCGCTAGCTTGATGAAAAGCGTTTCGACAAGGCTGGCGGAGTGCGAGGAGGGGGGTAAGCCTTATGGACGCACAACGGTACTACTTCGAAGAATATTGTTCTTGGAGTAATTGGCACCGTAGGAGATTTCGAGGTGGTGGTGCTACTAATAGACTGTTTGCTCCAACCCGGTTCTGCTTGAGACTTGGTCGAGTACAGTAGAAAGATGAGGGCCTTTGCCGCTTCTTCCGGCAGTGCTTAAGCTGCCAGCTCCAAAGAACATAGAGGGTTCCGAACCATGCTCTTGACCAAAACACACAGAGAGAGAGATATAGAGAGAGAGTGTGAGATAAGTCTATCCTTAAACGGCAGTGTCAAACTCGCCAGTTCTAATCAATACAGAGGGTTCCGAACAATGTATTCACCAGAAACGGAGGGAGAGCGAGAGACGAGAGAAGGCCAGAAAGAGAGAGACAGACAGAGAGACACACAGACAGACGATAACAGACAATGCCACCCTTACGCGTGAGCGCTGATGGTCGACTTGGTATCCTTTCCGTCGCTGAGCACCACCACACGGAGGACAGGCCGCTTCTCGTCCGGAACTGGGCCGTGGTTGGCCTGGTCACCTTTGGAAGCAGTGAGCACGCCGAGAGAGTGGAGGGGGGGGGGGGGGGGGGGGACACCCCCCCCCTGGAAAATTCCCCCCACAGGTTTTAAGCGTCGGGTGTCGCGGGGGAATTGTCGGGAAAAAACAAAACGGAAAAGGGGACTCCCAAGTCCCGGGGCCTGCCCTTAATTTTAAACCCCCTTTTTTTTCCGGGAAAGGGGGATTAAGAAAGCCTGGTTCCCAACCCCTGTTTGGGTAAAAAAAAGGGGTTATTTTACCCTTT